TCCACCCCTAGTACTTTAAGGTATATGGCAGGCAGATGCAAAGATCCAGTACTCAGTTCAGTGTCAGTAAGATATGGTTGGGCAGGATGAAGACTGGGAAAGCTTCCCCACATTCAGTTCCTGAGGGACAGAGGAAAGGTAATTTACTAAGACCTGGTTAATATATCAATTTCCACCTTATAACTCTTAGAATGGGTAAGAGAATCTCTGGACAAAACACAGGTGAGTGCAAGAGTGCCATACTGGGAGGGAGAGGTGGACAGAAGTGTATCAAATGCCAAGAAATAGCTTCTGGACATTGTCAGGCAGGCCTTGACCTCCCAAGACCTAAGGGATAAAGATATGGGAGGAGATGGTTCCAGTTAGAGGGAGCATTGCTAAAGGCCCAACAGAGAATGGGCAAAGTGCCCATTTATGGTGACTATAGTTGAATGGGAAGAGTACATACAGATTTGGTTGCAAAGGTCTGGGACCAGGTTTACAGAGCCTTGTAACAGAGCTTAAGATTTAAATTTTATCCTGAGGGGAAGACGTTGAAAGTTTCTTTTATTTTTTTTTAATCAAAATTTTTACTAGCAAATTTATAACTTAGCAAATAGATTGCAACTTCTTCGAAGGCAAAGTCTGTATTTTGGGGTTTTCAATGTCTAGTGCAGAAGTTCTCAAACCTTTTACATGCATCCAGACTCATGGGTTGAGGAACAGGGATAGAGGGACAGGGACAGTGATGGTTGTTAACAGTGATTTTGGTGGCAAGTCTTTTGATTCGGTTGGTCTAGCGGGGTGGGGGGGTGGCTTGTGAAAACTGCATTCCTCACAAGTTTCCAGGTGATATGACCACACTTTGAGAATCTGGAGAAAAGGAAAAAGATTCAGGTGGAAAATCAGTAAAAAGGGTCATGGATGTTTGGACACATTCAGCTACTCCTGCTCCAAACTGTATATAGAAGTGGCTGGGATGGAAGAGGCTAGAATTATAGAACCTCAGAGGCTGACTGCAGAAAGATAAAAATAGTTAAGTTAGTGACAAAGCTTTATTCTATTTGCCCCCTCCCCAATAACAGGCTCCCTTTCCAAGGTATTTTTTTCATTTATAATAGGATATAGATAAAAAATAAAACAGTATTTTTTTCAAATTAGCAATTTAAGAACAATTAAATGAAGTCATAAAGGGTGTTTGTCAACAGTTCTATCCCTACTTCACTCCCTCAGTTATCTATACCTAAAAGAAATCTAAGCACTGTGCCTATACCCCTCCCTCTCAACAGATGCCAGTGATTACCTAGTGACATCTACCACAGATGAGGGAAAATCCCTTGGAAGAACTGAGAGGCTTCCAGAAACTCTGCCTTGCCAATTTTAACTCTTTTTAGTAATGTCAAAACTCTTCAGTGGGGTTTATCCTTCATTTTTTCCTTCAGTTTGGCTATTATTATTATCATCATCATCATCATCACTGGGGATTTAACTCAGGGGTGCTTCACCACTGAGCTATACTACTAGCCTTTTTTATTTTTTGAGACAGGGTCTAAGTTTGCTTAGGACCTCAATAAATGGCTAAGGCTGGCCTCAAACTTGTGATCCTCTTGCCTCAGCCTTCTGAGTCACTGGGATTACAGGAATGTGCCACCACACCAGGCTCAGCCTGGCTTTTTAAACAAATAAACCACAAATTTATTAAAATGCAGATAATAAAGCCCACTGGGTAAAGGTCAGCTCCTATAGTGAAATAAGTACTATATGGGGAACCAGGATGCTGGGTTTCAGTCCTGAGCTGAGTTTCAGCTCAGGCACAGACTAATAGCATGGCTGTGAATCAGTCATTTTCACTTTCTGTGCTCAGTGTATGCTATAAATGTGGAGTTTGACCAATGCACGTTGTCTATTTTGACTTTAAAATCTAAGGAAATAAGAAACATCACATGGTTATATACACAGGGGTGTATTTTCCCCAGGTAACTGGAGTTCACAATGAACATTCTCATGAGATTCTTTTATCATGTATGTCATTTACACAATTGGACACACTGAAAACAAACATCGATAAAGGACCAACAGAATAGCTCCAAGCAAGTGCTCAGAAGTGGAATTGATCTCCCTTTACCTTCTGAATGTCAAATTGCCCTTTGAGGTTATTAACCCCAGCTTGGTCAGAGCACCATGTTGCTGCGAGCAATATAATCAGGAAAAGTGGAAAAAAAAAAAAAAAAAGTCTCCTATATGCCCAATCTTAGTTTCCATACAAACAAAACACGACTGCAGTATTTTTACATCTTTCCTAGCACTATAATTTTTCAAATTCTAAGACAACCAGATAATTTGATGCCTAATAAATGCTGCCATGCATCTTTCCATCAGTTCCACTAGGGGTTGATCAAATCCAGAGCACTAAAAATTTTTGTATAGAATATAAGCAAAGAATGGCTCCTACATTGTAAGTGGTAAAGAAAAATAAAATATTCTGTGGCAGGTAAAAATTGCATGAAATTCAAATTTCAGTGTGCACAGTCTTATTAGAATGCAGTTTTGTTTTTATATATTGTCTATAACTGTTGTCATGCTAACACAGAATTTAGTAGTTGTCAAAGTCTCATATACTGTCAAATCTTTATGGAAAAAAATACAGCATATCTACTTGTATCACTGGGTTATTTGATTATAAATTGCAAATGTAAACTATGAATAAAAATGCTAAAGAAGAAAAACAGTGTTTTTGTGAGTTTTTTTTCCTTTCAATTCTGGGGATTGAACCCAGAATGATCTACACCATTGAACTATATCCCCAGCCCATTTTTTTTTTTTTGGTACTAGACATTAAACCCAGGGGTGCTATACCACTGAGCTACATCCCAGCCTTTTTTTTTTTTTTTTTTTTTTTTCTGGGGGTGAACTCAGGGGCACTTGGCCACTGAGCCACATCCCCAGCCCTTTTTTGTATTTTATTTAGAGGCAGGGTCTCACTGAGTCGCTTAGTGCCTTGCTTTTTGCTGAGGCTGGCTTTGAACTCGTGATCCTCCTGCCTCAGCCTCCCCAGCTGCTGGGATTACAGATGCATACCACTGTGCCTGGCTACAACCCAGCCTTTTAAATAAATTTCCCTTTTAAGACAGGGACTTGGGGCTGGGGTTGAGGCTCAGTGGTAGAGTGCTCACCTAGCATGCATGAGGCACTGGGTTCAACCTCAGCACCACACAAATGTAAAATATTATGTCCACACACACACACACACACACACACACAAAAAAAAAAAAAAAAAGACGGTCTTATTAAGTTGCCTAGAGCCTCACTAAATTGCTGCGGCTAGCCTTGAAGTTGCAATCTTCCTGCCTCAGCCTTCAGAGTCACTAGGATTACATGCCTGGCTGGATTTTTGTTTTTGAGTGGGGTCAATCCTTCATGGATACAGATGAACAACTGGATAGTTTGAAGACAACATTATACTGACTTATGCAGTTCATACAAAAGGGACATCAAACTAACCACAGTTGTATTCTAGGGGCCAGAGAAGATTCATGCTCTACTACGGAGCTTGTGCACTCACCTCTGTTTCCTCCCTGACATTCGTTATTCAGCTGCCTTCCCTCAGGTCAAGAGAATTCTCATTTCATTCAAGACTGACTCATCAGGTTATATCTTCTTTGGTGCATTCCCTAACAGGTGATATGAGGTGACATGTAGATATGCACAAACAGATAGTCCAGATATCCATGGTCCTATTTTTTTTAAGATAGGTTCTCATTAAATTTGCCAAGGCTGGCTTTGAACTCGTGATTCTCCTACCTCAGCCCCCTGAATAAATGGTATTTATAGGCGTGCATCATTGGGCCTGGCCTACTTCTTTTACAAGCCATTTCAAAATGGTGATATGCTCTCCAAATGCCTTACATCTGAGCTCACTCCTATTCTGGCATTTATCAGCACCAACAGTATAAAAAATTACTCATTTTTTGGTCAAATGTGAAAAAGAAAAGACATGAATGGCAAAAAGCAACAGACCCTTGAAGTTACTTTAGCCATAGGACTACAAACCTTCAAAGTGATATTTCTTCACAAAACTGCTGTATTACTTATTAAAACATCATAGCAAACAGCCTCAAAACTGTCCATTTTACAAGATAATGCAACTGGTGTAAAATCAAAGATTTCCTTTTAATTCTAAGTCTTATTTTCTTCATTTTTCCTTAGCACTCTTATAGCTTGCATCTTCTGAGCAATTATGAAAGTCAAGAAAGCCTATTATTGTATTTCCCCACGTTAATTTGTCCTTAAAGTGCATGTGGAATAAAGGAAAATGTCCACATGAGCCTACAGGCTGAGGAGGAGGAAGCAGTGAGGATGCCCTCTGCTTGCTACCCAGCCTGAGTGAGGGGGTCCTGCCAAGAATAGGAGATATAGATGAAGGCAGCTACCACTCTGCCTTCTTGTGAATCAAAGACACTTAGCTTCAAATGAAAAGATTGAGAGAGAAAATCTAAACATACAGAGTCACCATTTTTGCCTCTTGGCAAACTACCTTCTTTCCTCTCTTTCTCAGAAATGTAATTTTCTATAAAGCACATTCATTTTAAACAATATTGCAGTTGAAATGGAAAAAAAAACTTGGGAGAATTAATTGTCATTAAAATGTGGTGTATACTACTTTACAAGCTTATAGTTAGTGAGTTATACTGTCACTAGTTGTTTGGGAAGTCTAATCTTATGAGAAAATGTTCCTCAAAACAGCAAAGAAGAAAAATTATGTTAGTGGAGAAAATGAACATGGAAACCACAACAGAAGCCCTATTATTATGGTATACATGGGGAAAAACTATTGACCTTTTCTAAGAATAGATTTCCTTATAACTTTTAAATAGATATCCTCTTAAACTTATAAATCATACTTCACTATTTTCCAAATTTTTTTGTATAAAAATATTTTTCAAACTAATAAAGATAGAAACCAGAGGACTGGACTCACATCTGTGCAGAAATATTTACTTTGTAAGACAAAAAACTCAAGATCACAGTACACAGCATTTATTTATTTAAATACTTGAAAAGGTCAATGATGGAAAAAAATAGGTTTATCATGAGAGTTTATATTCATTAGATTTATTTTACCATTTAAAAAAGTGCTGCTTCTAGGTTATCCTAGCAGATATAGAACACTTTATGACACATGCAGCTACTGTAATATACTATAATAGACACAGCCATTATAGAATGATTTATACTTTGGGAGGAAATTCCAACAGTAGTAAGGGTAACTTGTTTATTTAAACTAAAAACAGTGATAATATACAAATTATTTTTCTCATTTGATTGAAAGGGCTATAAAATTTCACATACTGACAAAGGAAGCAACATAATCACATAGAGAACTCCTCAGCTCATTGCTTTTACCTTACTGCATCCTTAAAGGAGAGTATACACTCAGCTATACAATTTTCTAGACTGCACAACGGCTTCAAGGCTGGCCTATCATAAGTGACTGAAAGTAAATTGTGTTGGTAAGCAGACATTGACTTGTGTGTTTTTAAAAATAGAGAGAAAATGGCAAATTGTGTCTCATGTACCCAAAGGATCATTTTGAGTAAATGTGAAATAAATAAGTGATCCATGAGTAAATATAATCTCTGGAATGACTTAAACCTAGGAGAGTGAGCCAAGTGACCATTAACAATACCATGTAGAAATGTCTAGAAACATCATTTCTAGAACTCAGTTTGGGAGACCATATTTTACCTGAATATATACATTATTTACAAAATATTCCCTTTTGGCCTCTGAAATGTAGCCATTTTAGTTTGGCTATGAAGCTGTTTTCTTTCCATATGCTAGCCAATACTGTAGTTATTACTATCATTAAAATATTCTTATGCATGAATTACAAATATTAATAAAGTAATTCTGCATGTATAAATATCTCAATATTTCTAGCAGAATTTAAAGCATTCAGAATGTACATAAAAGTATCTGTTTTTGGTAGGGCCAGTATTTTTTTTTAATCATCGCTGTTTCAATAATGCTTTGTACATAGCAAACCCCAAAACTGCAAAAACAGTAGCACCAAAACTTGCTCGGAGCCAAAACGTGGAGCTCTTGAGGTCAGCTTGTGTCACATGCCTGTAGTCAGAAAATATAATTAATATTTAAAACATGGTTAGTAGGAAAATCTCACACCAGTCATATAACAGTCTACTTTTAGGGAAGTATTAGCACACTTGTCAGACTAATTGCATACAGTAATGCTTACCAAAACCTTTATCAGTACAGCCATGTATACACATTGCTTAGATAACCACTATCTTAAGAAAATAATATAATGCAGACAAATTAGTAAAAGCAAATGTCTTTGATACTACTTGGGTATTGGCATCTAAAATTTTGAAATTTCTTCACATGGTAAATGAAATTAGAGAAATCAATCCACCACTTTTTAATACCACCATGGCCCTGTGAAATGAGAATTAAGGCTGGGTTCTCATAATTTTGAGGGTCATATTCATGGAATGTAACTAAGGTACAATCTTCTATCCCAGGAACCAAAAGCTATCTTGTAAGCAGTTAAGCGACAAGTGACAATACTTTTTTAAGAGCAAAGATTAAAGTCAACTTTGGAAACAGTGGGTTCCATTAAAGTTTACCCCCCAAAAATCCCAAAGGGAATGGGTAAGATTTGCCAGTTTACATTCATTTGGTTACTACTAATTAAACAGAAAACAAAACCAAAACCAAAAACAAAACCCTGATGTTAGTCAGACAGGCAGTGATAATGATACCAAATAAAGGACATAATGTAACATGATGGGTTGAAAGGTAATGACATAAAAGAAATCATCTGATGCATGACAAGAATGGGGACAGCCTGTACCACAAACTGAGTTTGTGAGCATGCTCAGTTAATAACACTGCTAAGCACCCTCAAGAGTCTCAAGTATGACAGCTTACCATGAAGAGGATAAAGCTTTAAAGTAAAGGTTGGAACATTTTATTCAAGTGTCACTGAAGTCTTAGTTTAGTGAACACAACTGAGGTGATGTAAAAAACTTCCAGAATTAAAAGCTTGGAAAGCCTATCTAGTTTAGGTTATTTTACAACTAAGTTTAACAGATTGAAGCAAAAGTGAGACATCATTAAAAGACCAAGACACTGATATATGCAAGAGTATGAATTCAAATTGCAAAAAAACTACTGTGCCTCAGTAACAGTCACAGAATGATTAGATTAGTTATCACAAAATGCAGTCTGTACATCCCTAGAAACAAAATTCCACGATTCAGTGCTCCATGCTCATCTCCATGACCAAGTAACACATGCCATTCCCATTTCTCACTCTCACCAGTTTAAGGAAGAAAAAAAAAATCATTCCTCATATAATTATTTTTCACAAAGCATAGTGATAACACACGTTCATTTTACCTTCCAAGTTAGTTCTTTCAACAGGCAATGTTTTATTTTTTTTTTTAAAGTTAGAGAATATTTAGGTTTCAGTTTTTCTAGCTGGAAAACCTCTAACAAGGTCAACCCATTGTTGTGGGAAATGTTACCTGGCTTCAAGAAAAAGTGGACCAGGAGATGACTCCATGAAGATGGAATCTTCTACAGAGCTGACGGCGTGCACCTGGTGAGTAATACTGCCTTCGTCGTCTGCTAACAGCATGGCACCCCACTCAGCTACCCGGGCTCTTAACCTTTTATACACATGCACACAGTTTGCAGTTCACAGCAGAACTCATGAAAGAAGGGACTCAAAATAACATCTCTCAATTAAACGTCCCACGCGTATACTAAGTTGCCACCCTATATGATGCATCTCATGCCTTCTATAATTAAAATAAATGTATTCCCTAGCAAATTGCCAAACCTAAAAAAAAAAAAAAAAATTCTGTATGTACTCTTAAACATTCATACACCAACAAGGAAACCTAAAGCTGTCACATACATTCTATATATCACTCTGAGGCTAGTCTTGATATATCTGAAACACTAACAGAAGTCCTTGAAAACAATACCCAAAACAGTACCTGACAACATATGATAATCACAGTATTCATTCAAAATGAGGTTAGCAATTATTAGTCATGAAGTTTATTGATGCTTCTATAATTCAAAACTATCAAAAACTACAAATATACATCTGTGAAAAATTGACTCCAACATCCCAAACTCATAGACCACCAATGACTTGTGATGAGAAAATAAGGTTTACATCTCTAATAGTGATGTGCAGAATTTCAAGTGAAAGCACAGGGAAAATGTCTATTAGAGCTTTTGCTTCAGCTTTGGTTTCCCAGTACTTATCTTCACTGATAAGCTGATTTTGTTTTCCAATTTTTACATTTGTTCTTTAATCTGGGGGAAGAAAGGCATTAGGATTATAGCTAGTCATACTCATAATGAAGATAAGTCAAAATGACTTCTTTTTTTAATATTTTTTAGTTGTCAATGGACATTTATTTTATTTATTTACATGCAGTGCTAAGAATCGAACCCAGGGCTTCTCACATGCTAGGCAAGTGCTCCACCACTGAGGCACCACTCCAATACCTCAAAATGACTTCTTGGTAAATAGTCTTTACATAGGGGTATCTGTTTCACATAGCTCCCTTGGTTGTGTTTTAGGACAGCATTATCGTTCATGAAATAAAAGTCTTCTGACTGACAACATTGCTTAGTTTTTTTCTGCATTTCAAGATGTAACTGTATTTTCCCCAAGCTATGATATAGCCTTCAGAGGTAAAATAGAGGTATGTATTTATTTATCAAACAGTATAGATACATACTTAGACAAGCCAGTTTAAAACTTAAGGCAACTATTAACTCAAAATATATTTCAATGGCTCCATCAATGTTATACAAATTGTTTAAGATACTTTTAGACATGAAAAGCTACTTAAAGTACTATTTTATGTCTTTACTGAACATTTAAAAGCTGCATTACCAGGCTGTATTTATAAGAGAAAGTATTTATAATAGATGGCATACTTGTCATTGCTTAGATAATTGATATTTTCTGAATACAGAATAGTGTGTTCTTAAATGTGTCCCATAAGTATAAAAAAATGACTTATGTTTCTCATTTCAGGTCTCAAACAGAAGCAAAGTAACAGTTTTATAAAACTATATCTAGTTCATCTCTAAACTCAAGCAGAAATAATTCTTCCACATTCAAAAACAATTCTTTCAAAATGACTCACATATATCATCAGAATAAATTATAATATCTTATAGTATAACTTTTCTTCTTTTTTAAAGTTTACTTTCTTTTCAACTATAAAAAAGTAATATACACTCATTGGAAAATAAAGCAAAGAAGGAAGAAACTAAGATATCTAAATTTTGAGTACTTCCTTTTAGTTTTTTTCTATGCATTTTCAGATAGCTTCAAACACAAGGTGTAATTTACATATATATTAGTACATATTATATGTATTTATATGTAATCTTACTATAAGAATTTTTCTATAGATTATAGAAATATCATTTTAAACAGCTGCATTGTATTCCATCCTCCTACTCTGGCTATCTCCATTTTCTGATTACTAAAAATAATGAGCATCTTTCTCCTATAAAATTTTTCTGTTTAGGATACTTTTACTTAGACCTCACAGAAATGAATATTACATGGTCAAAAATGTGTATGTGTGTGTATGTGTGTATATAGAAAGGTTCTTTTTTGTACCCAGTGATACAGCAGAATCCCCAATTTTTCCTACTGTATGTGGAATATAATCATTTAGTTCAGCAGTATCTCTTTTTACTCTCTTCCACACTGGTGTGAGAAGCAACATGTTCTGATTTAGGTATCATTATGGTTTCTTCTTAATAATACAGATGGAAGAAAATGTTTCACAATTCAGGCAATTAAATGAATTGTTTCTATGAACAGTCCCTCATGGCATATGTAGGATGACAACGATCCTGTGGACTTTGCAATGACTACCTTAAAAGAAGGCAGACAAAAACACATTTGATTAACTCAACAATTTATGGTGACTATAAAGACATGAACTAAAATGCTTTATTGGCTCAATATATTTAAACAATAATAAAAAAGGGAAATTATCACTGTAATTATTTAGAAACATAAAATACCAAATTCTAAAGGGTCCAAAGGAATTAAATCTATTCTAGTTATTTCCAAATAGGGTATTTTTAATATTCTAGTTGAGATTTTTTATCATCTGTCATAGGACTTTATATGGACAATGTAGAAACTATATTGCAGAGACCTAAAAGACTGAACATATAGAATTTAGGAAAGGGTGAGAACTCTGAAAGATCCAGATAACAATCAATGATTTTTGTCAATGGGCCTTTATTTATTTATATGTGGTGCTGAGAATTGAACCCAGTGCCTCACACATACCAGGTAAGTGCTTCTATCCCTGAGCTACAACCGCAGTTCAACCAATCTTATCTTACACTATTGGCTATTATACTAAGGAAAAGAAAAATTTAGTAGAACATACTCAAAAGCAGCAAAGGTAAGACACCCACAGAGTCATTTTTATCAGTTTTCCTACACTTCTCAAAAATGAATTTGAATTTTTCATTCCTCTTGTCTTGCCATTTTATCCTTTCCAAATAGAACTCAGAGGTAAACAGATACACTAGTATGAATGGTCTTCTAATTTTATAACTCTATTTATTTATGTATCTTGAATACAAATTTTTAAAAAATAATTTGAAAGGGCCTATATAATTGTAATGCATGTGTACTTAAAGTTACTAGGGCACAGAGTTATCATATATCACCTTTTATCATTTGTAATTATGTATCTCAATTGAACACTATACTGAGTTCACAAAAATAATAAAAGTTTTGTTTTTAAATAGTCTTCTATTTCAAAAAAAAAATAGAAAAAAATAATTCTGGACCTCCTTTCTTTTATTCCTTCAAATTTTTCTACCTATCATTTTCTATATTTATTTCCAATAATGTCATTACTGCTAATAATATGAATATACATACATAATACATACTCTCTCTCTATATATATATATAGAGAGAGAGAGTATGTATATATGTATTTTTTCCTTTTTCTTTCTTCCTTCCCCCGCCCCCCGCCCCAATTCAATGTTGGGGATAGAACTCGGCCTTGTGCATGACAGGCAACTGC